GAACTGCAAGATCAGCAGTTTGAAACTACCAGCTGTTCCGTGGGAGAAAGATGAGGCTTTATGCTCCCATAAAGATTTACAGCCTCGGAAACCCTGTACGGGTTTGCTATAAGTTGGAATCGACTCCACGGCACAAAACAACAACAACAATCTAATTTGCTTACCTTTCTTTATAAGTTATATTTCTATTCTCCCTAGCCGCTTTTAGAATTCTTTGATTTTGGAGAGCTTGATTATTAAATGTCTTGTAGACTTTGTTTTGGTGTCTACCCTTCCTGGGGTACGCTGGGCTTCCTGAATGTTTATCTTGTCATCTTTCAAGTTGTTAGGGAAATTTTCTTCCAGAAGCTCTTCAATTATCTCCTCTGCGGACTTCTTTGGTTCTTCTTGTTCCGGAATGCCAATAATTCTTACGTTATTCCTCTTCATATGTTATCCAGTATGAATCTTAGAGTCTCTTCATATTGTTTTATCCTTTCAGCTGCTTGCTCTTCTATCTTGGCAGTATTGAGATATTTGTCTTCTAGTTCGCTAGTTCTGGCTTCCATCTCTTCTAGTCTGCTATTTTCCCCTTTCAGCTTATTGTCCAATTCTGATATTTTATTATTAATCACTTTGGACATTGTTTTGCAAGTTTTGAATTGTTTCCAATGCTGTGTCAATCCTATTTGATTGTTCCTGCAGTACTTTCCTTACTTCTTCCTTATTTTTCTCAGCCCCTTTTCAGAATATTTGAATTTGTTTCCATATCATTCTTCTGAATTCCCTCTCAGGCATATCCAGAACCCGCTCCTCCTCCTCTATAAAGCCTTTGTCTGTCTCCAGCTCATTTGGATCAGCTGCTTTTCTTCTGTTTTTGGACACGTTCAATAAGGTTTGTTGTTTTTTATTCATTATGGTTATTATTATTATTATTATTATTATTAATATGATCAGGAGATAGGCTTCCCTTAACATCTGTAATGTGCAGCAGGTGTTGTTAGGTCTTGTCTAAGTGGTGGAGTATCATGGTGTATGCTTACCGCTTGGCTACATATAGCCATGATTGATGCAGCTTCTTAGGTGAGGTAGGGAGGAAAAGCTCCCACCTCCAGGAAAGATGTGTGATCAAAAGGACCAAAAGTAGAAGTAATATAAATGCATAAGCAGAAATCACCATTTTGGAGCAGAGATGAGGCTTTGGTCAACTTTTCCGTGCTACACCAGCAGTGTGTGTGCAAATAGAAGCCTCCAGCAGGGGTGGGGGTGACCCTTCTTTCAGGCCTCTCCTTTAACCACTGCCATATAGGTGGACAGATATATATTGGGGAGTTAATGGGAGGAAGATCGACTGCTGTTTTTGTCTCTGATTGTCAGTTATCTACCTGTGCTCAGCGCTCATCTTGGAATGATGGAGACCTGTTCTGTTGGTTTTTTTATAGACTGCCTTGACCTTGTCCTGCCCAGTGAACTCATGCAGCTCCCCAGCTGCGGGTTGCCAAATTGGTAGCTGGGGATTTTAATCTGTTCCCTTGGAGAAAGGTTGCATGTCCCGCCAGAACAGTATGTGGAAGATCCATGATGCTACCTGGGCAGGGCTTCTGATCTGTGACAGTGGCCGATGACATACAAGTCACTGCACCTCTCCCTCTCTGTGCCATAGGTAAACTGTGTCGCCTGATGTCCACACTGAGATCTTAAGCTAGGGCAGGGAGATTTTTTTTTTTTTATTATTTTTTTTATGTCGCTTCTTGCAGTTTTGTCTGCTTAGGTTTTTTTTAAATTTTTTTGCTGGAAACGCCACTTTCTGAACTGGCTGGCTTCAGCCCCACCCTCTAAGCTCTACAGGGGCGGGGTGGTAGCGGGGGCTCCCGCTGGTCTGCGGGCGAGAGTTTTAAGCTGCCTGCAATTTCCTCAGTAGCATGGTTTTTCAAAAATGCGAGTTTGGAAGATTGAAGCACTAGGTCTTAGGATAGTTCGAAGGCGCTATGGGTTTGCTATATGAAAGTTTCCTTCGTGAGATCCCCCCTCCCTTCTCAACGGAGCTCTCCCTACCTGACTCCCAAGTCTGCAGCCCAGAACCAGAAGCTTGCTGGGATGTATTGTTAGCACAAGCAGTTTATTCTAGAAGAATAAATTCAATTTACACCTGAAGCTTCTACTCTAATCTTAGTCATCAAAAACAATTATTATTTTTAGGCTATTAATCAGCTGTTCTTAGCATATTACCTCAATAGAAGAGCCCCTATACAGTAGAGATGACAGATTTTAAGAAACACTAGTGATCAGAAAAATCTTAAACTACTTTTATATAAATATGTAAATGAACCATAGCTTTTCATGATCTTTTTTACTCTTCTAATTTCATTTTATGCAAGATCTTGGATTTTTATTATGAATCATTTGACAGATACGTAGCATGGGAAAATTTCAAACACGTATGTACCCACCCATAAGTTTACTTAGCTATTTCTACTTACAGAGTACAGAAAAAAGCAACAATAGTAAGGACAAAGCTCAGACAAGACCTGTCTAAGTTATGTTTTAAAGGATAAATGTTGTTACATGCCATGGAGTTGGGTCTGACTTATAGTGACCCTGCATAGTTTGAGCTCCTGTAAATACCTGAAACATAAAGGATAAATAAGAATGTTTTATTACCTTCAGATATTTACAGGAGCTCAAACCAGCATAATTATTATAGTCCTATCAATTTATTTTCTCATGACTAGGTATGAATCATACATAATGGTGAATTGTTCATATGCAAATGGATTTCTAAGAGGCTTAAAGAATTACCCAGGTTAAACAACAGGCAGCACTATTTCTACCACAGAGTTGGACTCCCAGGGGTGAGTGTTGGAGTGAAATGGTAGTGACCAGCTAATCCACTGCTCTCCTATTACCGGAAACGCAGACCCAGAGCTGCAAAGTGATTCCCCTTGGCTCACCAGCCGGGGAGCAGCACCCACTGTCTTCACAAAGAATGCAGAGATACCCTTCCATAGCACCCCTAATTTGCTGTAAATTTTAGCACAGGCCACTTTTATACTCTTTGTCACACTTTGCAAGGAGTCTTGTATTCACAAACAAGTGACAGGGTCACACAGAATAAAAACAGTAAAATAAAATGTAACTTACATCATAGTGAAAAAAATGAAATTTCCAATAATTGTTGAAATGAATACCTTAATAGCTTTACTAATAAATAAGTATGACAAAATAAAAACAACAATTTATCTGTTAAACACAACAGAGCTAAGTGTTGGTAACCTGGAGGGATGCTTATGCCTTACAGCCAAAACATGCTTTCCCAAACCTTTGGACTGAACATTTTGTCAGCTCTAAAAATCACTGGGAGTCTCCACGTTACCCCTTTTTCTTTTTCTAATTCCAGTTCACTCTATGGAAAACAAAACTGAGAAGTACTGAGCAAGTCAAGAGAAACCAATAACATTTTTTTCACTATTTTAAGTAACCAGAACCAGATCAAGATGCCGTGGTGGCGCAATACTTCAGTACTTGGCTACTAACGAAAAGGTGGGCAGTTTAATCTGACCAGTGGCTCCGCAGAAGGACAGTCCTGGCGGTCTGGTCCCATCAAGAAGACGGCCTAGAAGAGTGTCTGGGGCAGTTCTACTCGGGTCCCCAGGAATTAACTGGATGGCACACAACAGCACAGGTCAGCAGTGTCAGGACAATTGTGCCTTTCTAATGTAGACTCCTACCTTGTCTCATCCACTCGACCTCATCCTCCAGGACAAAGCTGCATAAGGCTCTTGCTATTGCCAGGCGTACTGCTCCTGCCTGTGATGACCTCCCGCCTCCAGAGACTGTGCAGGTCACATCATGTTTCCCAAGCCGGTCAAGGAAATGAAAAGGGAACATCAACTGTTCTCTGAAGCACACATAAATACTTAGCTTTACTACAAGACACATAACTTTATAAACTGATAACATTCTAAAAGATTCCTAAACCAAATTATTCATGTCCATTTTACATCTGTGCTATTTCCTGATCAATGCATTACACTAAGACAGAGAACCTGAGCTATTACTGAGAGCGAAAATGCTTTACTGACTCCTAAGGTACTCCTCTGACTTGGGGATAGCAGTACACTTCCAGAGGGCCCAGCCCCCACAGAGAACGTCACACTTGGTCAAGTGGAGGGTCAGCAAAAAGCACTTTGCAGATTCATTTTATTTCATAAAAACTTTGAAAGGCTTGAAATGACCTCATAAAAGTCTTAAAATTGGAGGACCCCATTAATAAACTGAATCTCTCAGAATTCAATGGCAAGTACAATATTAGTATGTATTCCCAAGCAGTTATCAAATGTCATTGGGATTCACTTAAATAAAACTAGATTCAACCTCCTGTCTTCACTGAACACATATTCCTATCATCCATCTCTAAACTGCAAGGTCCTATTACCTCCCTGGTGCCGAATGACACAGCATACAACCCAAGTCAGACTTAGTGGGCAGTGAGGGTCCACATGGTCCCAGTAGGTAGGTCTCACTAAGTCCAAAGACAGAACATAGACAAGACATGCCCCTGGGCCTTCTTTAGCTCAACTTTAACAAATATTTACTCAGTACAACTTAGGTGTCAGACACAATGCCCTTCACACTAAACTGGCAAAATAATCACACACATCAGACAGAATACCTTCAAAAAGCATAGCAGTCTGGAATTTGTTATAAAACTACATAGAAATGAAACAATTCCGACAGTCATACGAGCAGTGGTAAGCTACTACTTAAATCTATAGGGTTTGACAAATGCTTCAAAATAACAAAATTTAAAGTAGCAAATGGGTTGCAAATTATTGCAGTGTTAAATCATAACACAAAGAGAAAATGTAGAAACTGATCATCTAATTCCCACCTTTTTCCTTTTTTCAGTGAGGAAACAGACAACGAGATCTAATCTCTGGGCTATGACAGGAAGTCCATGCCTTGCTAACATGCAGGAAAGTCGGCTGTGATGTGAAAGGGGGTACTAGGAAGGACTTCTAGACAGTCATTTGTTTGAGAACTTTAGTACTTACATGTCTTAATCCCTAAAATTCCCAAACAAATGCTTATTTAAACACAGAAACAGAGGTTTTAAAAAAAATTTTTTTTTACAATGTAATTACTAAAAATATGGCACAGTAACGGAGACAAAGTGACCAAGGTAAGAAAGAAGCGTTAAAAAAGATTCTGAACAGCTGAAAAGTTGTTGAAACATAGTTGCAAAGTCCTAAAATTATAACTAGACTAAAAAACCAAAACAAAACCCAAAGGTAAAAATTGCAATGGTCATGGTGCAGGTATCAGTTTTAATTAACCTAGACTGTAAGTAGTTCATGTCATAGAGACGGCATGAAAACACTTCACAATTCACCTTTTCTCCTCTCAGAAAGCTAAGATGAAATTGTAAGTTTAAAAGTTCTTTGTTATCTGAATCAGTTATTTTGAAAATAGAAATGACTTCCTCATTTATGTAAGTATCTTCTCTGATTTCTACTTTCACTGCACTAATTCTATACCATATAATTACATATTTTCATTTATTCATCTCTGATTGTCTAACATGCTAACCTTATCTCTTCTATCACATGGTTAGGAGTGAGTAAGAAATCTTATTTCTTCTGTACAGATGATCAATTAAGAGTTGGCTTTTTGGTGGAATGGATTTTCCAAATCAGGTTATTAACTGCATTCCTATAGCACAAGGCACATAACAATAAATGCTTGTTGGATAAAACATTTCTGATGATCCTGGGAAGGCAACACAGTCTACATTTGCAATGATCTGTTTGCTGTGTTTGTGTAAAAACAGCCCAAAGAAAAGTCTCTGACAGTTCAATGGACTCTGAGGCAAGCTTCTTAGATATCAGCTAGTTCAGCATCTCTACTGATTAGGAAAGTACCCTTGATCACCTGATTAGTCTACCCTGTCAATGATAATTTCACTGTGAAATTTTGAAGTCCCTTACTTGCTACTACAAAAATCCTCACCAGTGGGACAATAAATAACATCAAAATAAATGGAGAAAAGATTCAAGTTGTCAAAGACTTCATTTTGTGCAGATCCACCATGAACATTCATGGAAGCAGCAGTTGAAATATCAAATGCCGTATTGCATTAGACAAATATGTTGCACAAGACCTCTTTAAAGTGTTCAAGAGCAAAGCTGTCAGTTTGAGGATCACAGTGCACCTGACCCAAGCCACGGTATTTCCAACGGCCTCTACCACCACTCATCTGTCAGTCTGTCATACTGTGGTGGCTTGTGAGTTGCTATGATTCTGAAAGCTATGCCGCTGGTCTTTTAAACACCAGCAGGGTCACCCATGGTGGACACGTTTCAGATGAGCTTCCAGACGAAGACAGACCAGGAAAAGGAGTGGTGAACTACTTTCAAATATTTAGTCACTGAAAACCTTATGAATAGCAGAGAAACACTGTCAGATATAGTGCTGAAAAATGAGCCCCTTAGGTTGGAAGGCACTCAAAATGTGACTGGTGAAGAGCTGCCTCCTCAGAGTAGAACTGACCGTGATGACGTGAATGGAGTACAGCCCATTTACTGACGGGGCACGACTCAAAATGAAGAGAAACAGCTGTAACATCCATTGAAAATCATAACATGGAATGTAAGAAGTATGAATCTGGTAATATTAGAAGTTGTCAAAAATGAAATGGAATGCATACACATCAATATCTTAGGCATTAGTGAGCTGAAATGAATGGTATTGGCCATTTTGAATCTGACAACCACATGGCTTACTATGCCGGAAATGACAAATTGTAGAGGAATAGTGTTACATACATTTTCAAAAAGAACATATCCAGATCAGTCATGAAGTACAACGCTGTCTGTGACAGGATAATATCCATGCGCCTACAGGAAAGCCCAGTTAATACCACTTTTATTCCAATTTACGTACCAACCACTAAAGCCAGTGAGGATGAAATAGAAGAATTCTACCAACTTCTTCAATCTGAGATTGATCAAACATGCGATCAAGATGTAGTGATGATTACTGGTGATTGGAATGCAAAGGTTGGGAGTAAAGAGGAAGGATCAGTAGTTGAAAATATGGCCTGGTGATAGAAATGATGCTGGAGAATGCATGATAGAATTCAGCAAAACGGTGATTTGTTCATTTCAAATACCCTCCTTAGACAGCCTAAGAGATACATAGGGACCTCACCAAATGGACTACACAGAAATCATATTGTCTACATCTGTGGAAAAAGATGATGGAAAAGCTCCTTATCATTAGTGAAAACAAAGCTAGGGGCAGACAGTGGAACAGACCATCAATTGCTCATATGCAAATTCAAACTGAAGCTGAAGAAAATGAAAACAAGTCCACGAGAGCCAAAAT